GGGGGGGGGGAGGGTGCTGTCTGCCGGGGGCATCCGGGCGCTCCAGGCCTTGGGAAGACTCCGAAAAAGATCCCCCGCCCGGCGGGCTGGGCCTCTGCGGCGTCTGTCTCGCGGCCCTGGGGCCCGTACCACATGCGCTTCGTACTGCCAGCCGGCCACAGTTCCCTGGGAGGGGGCGGGGGGCGGGCGAGGCAGAGTGGTCATCCTTCGCGCGTTCGTTGGAGCGTGACACACTAGGGCGCTCTGGGGAAGGTTCAACCGGGCGCTCCTCCCGCCCTGGCTACCAGGGCCGAAAGGACCGAACAGCCGGCGTGGCCCGGGTGCATGCGCGCGGCCAACCCGCACAACAGACACAACAGCCAGCCGAATAAAACCAGTCGGATCTACGCCGAGAGGGCATAACAGGGCACCAGCCCGGCCCAACGTTGGCACCGGGCGCTCCTGATCTTCCTCGGCCACCCTCCAGCCCGGACTCGGTGTCTCGTCACGATGCCCGGATGATGCCCTATCCTCGGGCCCGGGGCGGGCCGTGTTTGCTTGTTGGCCGCCGCCGCCGCCGCCGCCGCCCCTCCTGGCCCTGCCTAAGCCACGGCGGGCAGGGGTCCCGAGGCACTGACCACACGACCCGACTGGCTGACAAGTTTCCACTCGGGAGGGGGGCGGCCGGCCGGGGGCCCTTCCGGCCGAGCAAGCCACAAGAGAGGTAAATAAGAGCCCTTTTTCGAAAGATTTATACCTAGACGCAGATCGGCTGACGGGCACATGCCCCGGGAATTGTATTGCAATGGTCACATGCCCACGGGTAATGATGTTCACCCACGCACCCGCCCCGAAGGGTGGCAGTCAGCTGGAAGGCGTCCACCGCGCGCGATTGCCGTCGCCACACGCTCGGGTGCGGGGCGCATGGGTGCCTCGAGGTGCCTGTGGGGGTGCGGGTGGTGCCGTCGATGCGCGTCGGCCATCGTCTGACGCCTGGCACGGGAAGAGGCTTCAAGAAGATGCATCGTCCTGGTCTGGCCCCCCCCGCCGCCGAGCATCCCCCGTTTCCCCTCTCTGTATGCTCCCCCTCCTTGCAATCCCCCCCCCCTCCTTTTTCGTGTCTGCTTTCGCCTCCCTCCCCCTCTTTTTGACTCGTCATTCCCTTCTGACACCCCTCTCTTTGGCCATCCTCCGATTGAACTCCAGATTCGCGTAGTTTGGGTTTGTTTTCTTTCTATCCACGCCCCTTTTCTCTATCATCATGGACGGTATCAAGCAGGAGGAGGCCCTTGAGCTCCAGCGCGTATGTTCCTCCCTGCTCCCCCCTTCTGCACCAGCTTGTGAAGGCTTCTCAATTGCTGGCTTTTTTTTTCTGGCCGCCCCCTCCTCGCGTGTCTCACTCACACATACACGCTCAAATCCGGTCTTCCTGCGGATCGTAGCTTCTTCAGGAGCGCCAGTCTCTCTCCATCTTTGAGGAGGCCACTCTCCACTACACCTCGCTCTGCTTCGACAAGTGCATCGGTTCGTGGCGTCCGCGTCATTTCCCCGCACGCCCCTCCTCGTTGCTTCTTGCCGATCACTCACCCTGCCCCTCGCCACCTGTCCATCTCTTCCCCCCCCCCCCCCCCCC